AAGCATTTGGTGAAACCCTCTTATTCATAGTAACTTCAAAAATATATTTAGGGAAAACCTAACTAAAGATATTAAAGAGCTCTACAATGAAAATTTTAAATCTTTAAAGAAAGAAATTAAGGAAGACATCAGAAGATGGAAGTACCTCCCATGCTTATGGATTGGAAGAATTAATATTGTGAAAAATGACCATCCTACGAAAAGCCATTTATAGATTCAATGAAATGCCAATCAAAATCCCCAGGACATTTTTCACAGAATTGGAACAAACCATACTAAGATTCATATGGAAGCACAAAAGACCTCGGAGGCCAAAGCAACTCTGAGCACTAAGAGCAATGCTCATGGAATTACGATACCAGATTTTCAGCTGTATTACAGAGCTATGGTCATAAAAACAACATGGTACTGGCACAAAAATAGACCCCCAGATCAATGGAACAAAACTGAAGACCCAAATATGAGTACATGCAATTTCAGCCACCTGATATTTGACAAAGGGGCCAAGAATATTCACTGGAGGAAAGACAGCATGTTCAGCAAATGGTGCTGGCAAAACTGGATCTCACCTGTAGAAGAGTGAAACTAAACCCCTATTTTTCACCTTGTACAAAAGTCAATTCTGATGGATCAAAGACCTCAATGTAAAGCCTGAAACTCTGAAACCGTTAGAAGAAAACACTGGCAAATCCTACAACATATTGTTGCAGGAGAGGATTTTCTAAACCGGACATCAATTGCTCAGGAAACAAGGGCAAGAATTAACAAATGGGACCTCATTAAACTAAAAAGCCTCACATCAAAGGAGGCAACCAGAAAAGTGAACAGAAAACCCACAGAATGTGAGAAAATCTTCACCAGCGACACATCTGACAGAGGTTAAATATTCAGAATATATAACAAGCACAAAAAACAGTGAATTGGGACTGAAGAGATAACTGAGCAGTTAAGAGCACTGACTGCTCTTGCAGAGGACCTGGGTTCTATTCCCAGCACCCACATGGTGGCTACAAAACATCCTTAACTGCAGTTCCAGGGGAATCTGAAGCCCTCTTCTGACCTCTGCGGCATAGCAAGATACGGGTGCACTCACATACATGTAGGCAATACACTCATACACATAAAATTAAATAATATTAAAAAAAATAGAGACTCAAGACAAGAAGTAACCCAATTAAAAGATGGGCTAAGGAGCTGACAGAGAGTTCTCAAAAGAAGTAAAGATAGCTATGAAGCATCTTAAAAAATGTTCAACATCACTAATAATTAGGGAAATGCAAATTAAAACCACTTTAACATTTCATCTTATCCCAGTCAGACTACCTAAGATCAAGAGAACAAATGATACCAAATGTTGGAGAGGATGTGGGGAAAGGGGAACACTCATCCACTGCTGGTGGGGCTGAAAACTTATTCAACCCCTATGGAAAGCAGTGTGGAGAACTCTTAAAAAACTGCAAATGAACCTACCATTTGACCCAGTTATACCACTCCTTGGCATATACCCAAAGAATTCATCCTTTTGCCAAGACACTTGTACATCCATGTTTGTTGCTGCTCTTTTCACAATAGCTAAGAGATGGAAGCAACCTAGGTGTCCCTCAATTGACAAGTAGATAATGAAATGAAAATGTGGTTCATTTATATGATGGAGTTTTACTCAGCAGTAAAGAAAGATGAAATCATGAAATTTGCAGGTAAATGGATGGAACTAGAATCTGTTATAGTAAGTGAAGTAACACAGACTCAGAAAAAAAATCGATGTATGTTCTCCCTCATATGTGGATCCTAGAACCAAACCCTGATAACTGAGTATGTATCCAGACATAACTACAGGATCCAGGATCATGGAAAGGAACCAGGGAGGCAAAGGAAAAGAAAGAACCTGAAAGAGAAGAACAGTAGGAAACAGGCCTTAATAAGGGAGATATGGATAAAAATTGGGTTAGTTTAGGGAGGGGGGAGGGAAGGGTATACAAGGAACCTAGGAGATAAAGGATAAGAAGGAGTTCAAGAGAGGTAGGACCACAGCGTATTATTAAGGGAGAAGGGGGGAAATGGGGGCACCTTAAGTGGGAAAACCATGAT